ATTACCGTGGATTAGAGTGATATTAAGAGACACGTTGGAGGTCGCGAAGATACACTTTTGAACATGGACAACGTGGACGGAGAAGACCGATACCGGCAATATCGGAAATTACGGGACTATCAAGTAGCGTTGCTATACATGCTATTAGGCTGCGTTTGGAATATATGAGAAATAATATAAATTTGAAAAATCTAAAGAATATCATAATACATTACAAATATATTTTGCAAACTTTATAATATTTCTACAAGGTTATTGAAACATTGTCGGCGAAGTATTACAATTGAATGTCTCTGTGAATCGTCTCTGCAATATTACATTACAATTTGCAATGTTGCAATGTTTTTGAAGGTTTCTGAAAGGTTTGGTGCTGTATGGGTATACGAATGTTCTCAGTTTATCCTGTATTATCATAGAACATTCAGTATGAGTACAGAATATTCGAATTATATCATGTGCTGTGTGGGGTTTTGTAAACGTTACAATTCAACATTCACCTAGCATTGTTAAATTATATTGAGTTAACATTGGTCGCGTTTAGCAGAATATTTTTTACAACTGTAGGAAGTGCTGGAATTGAATTGTTTTATATTATGCATTTCATAATTATATATTTTTTAAGTATCTATTTGAGTGTCAAAAAATACCCAGACAGCACACATATCTAAATGACATCATAAAGACGTCTTTAAGACGTCTTTTAGACTTAAAAACGTCTTTTAGACTTAAAGACGTCTTAAAGCTGTCTTTTTAGACATGGTGTGCTGTCTGGGTAATAATTTGTTCAAGATTGTTTTAACATTGCAGCAATATAAAGAATTAATGTACAAACATTAATCTAGATTCCACGTAGAAAAGATATTTATACTTCAATATTCAACAATGCAACGTTTCAGCAACATTATTTTAACTTTCTGTGCTATATGGGTATATGTATAATACCTCATGGTTTGTTAAAGCTAGGTATGATAATCTTGAAGCTACAATTTAGAAATTAGAATACACGAGTTTGCACATGTTGCAGATAAGTTTAAATTAATTTAAATTTATAAGACGTAACAAGTCTGGCGAATCGTCGATACATTTGATTTCCGTCCCGGACGCCGCGGGCGGCAGTCCGGTCCGGCCGAGGCTTCCGAGAGCAATAACGCGCGTACGTATCTACGTATCGTCACCGTTAACTAGTCTCGCTTCTCCACTCGTTTCCTTCCGTTTCCCTAATTCCGTTTCCTGATTCGACGTAACGCTCGGCGGGCCAGCCGCGGCGGCGAGCGCGCGAATAACGAAGCCGCGTGAACGAAACGATGTATTAAGCAGTCTTCGACGCGAGAATAAATTTACACCTCTAAGTCCGGACGATATCGCGCGATCGCGCCAGTAACGAGCCCCGCCCGCGATGAGGCACCCGAAATGAGAGACCGCCGGGCGTTATCGCTCTCGGCCGATCTATTATGCAATTCGGCATAGCGTGCGCGCAATTTGTGCGTTCAGCTAGATTTGCCGGGCAGATTAAAGCGCACGCCCGCGCGCGCGCGCACGATCGCGCCGGCCACGTGCTTACCCACGTGCAGCGACGATAATTAGCCCGGAATGCAACAGAGTTGTAATGAGATCGGGATCCGCGAGAGAGATCGCGCGGGATACGTTACTTCAGAGATGATTAATAATGCCGCTCGATATAATTAGTCGCACATATCTCGCGCTAATATCTAACGGCGACGGCTTCCTGGTCAATTCGACTTGAGATGCGCTCTACGGTCTACGGTCTACAGCGGTCTACGGTGTACGATCGATCTCGCTAGGAGATTTTGCGCGAGGGAAACGGATCGGGAAGTAACGAGACGAATTAACTGCAGCATTTTTATTTTTATTTAATTTTCATCTGTCCGTCTGAATTGTCGATTCGGTCCATTTCATCCATCATAAATTATCCTACTGAATGGTCTCGCTTATGAAAAATGGAAAAAGATTTAACAGGAAGAATGAGTCACGTCGATATTGTCTGGACTGGCTGCCAATGGCCGCGTTAGAAGGATCAATTAATTAAGGCTGCTTGGGACTTCTTAAAAAGAACTAGAGAACTGGAGAAAGAAGCGACTTTGTCTTTTCGATAACTGCAAGAGAATCAATCTTTCTTTATAATTATTCCATTCCACCGAGGCGATGCTTTATTTTACTTATTTTCATCGCGCTGGGATAATTTCAAAATAGTACGTGAAGCTATAAAAATAAATACAGTTTCAAAAGTAGCCAACTCGACTAACCTAACCACTCGAGTAACTCGATACGCATTGTAAGTACATTACAATCTATCTTTTTAACAAACAACGAGTGACGGCTGAAACCTTTTAAAGGTCACTCAGAAGGGTGACCTTGACAATACACGTCAAGATCAAGATCATTGGAGCAGGCTCCCCTAAACAGGAGTTTTACCACTTAAGTGGTAAATAATATAGAATTATAATTATAATATAGAATTGATTTGTGGTAATGGTAATGTTTGATCAGTATCACTTGAAGTACAAGATGGTAAAGTTTCAACCGTTTCATCTAAATTTCATCTAAACCGATTTTCCATAAGAAAAGTGCGAGGTCCTTTGTCAAATCAATAACGATCTTTCTCTCTCCGTCAAGATCATAAGTAATGAGAAGCGACTACCCAGCCAGAGCCAGCCAGCCAGTCGTTGCTTCAACATTCTACTCGGCTCTAGGGTTAATACCACAGTGGAATGCGGGGGAACCGAGTGAGGAGAGGACGGGAGGACGCGCTGGACCACTTCGTGTTCCGAGGCCGTTATCTCCCGCGGGTTTAATCATCTCAGGTAAGAGAGGAGATTGCGCCTGCAACGGAGAGCGGTGCAGAACCCGTCGAGGTCCCTTCGGCCTCCCTCCCCATTTCCCTCGTGCGGATCCCACGGCAACTTCTTTTCCTTCTCTTCATCCGGAGAGAATTTCCTCTCCTATCGACCAGGCCATGTCGATCGCACAATGGTCCCGCTGCTTCCTTCGTCTCTCGTCAGGGCCGCTCTATGGCATTTATGAACCCTAGAGCCCGTATGATTACTTAACGAATAAATAAAGAAAACGTGTAAAAATCATAGTTATTGGTGCAACGCTTATCTCGCTTTATCGATCTCTCAGAGGAATATTTGGAGATAAAACGCTCGTATCTGTTAATGTTAAATTGCATTTTCGACTTGTACATTTCTTATAATTATTCGTCGTAGACAAGTTTTTGAGGAAACGTGTACTTTTTGTACAAACCGCACGAATCTTTGTTCTTTCTTTCTCTCTTCACATAAATTTCAAAAATAATTTCCAAGTATGATTTTTGTTCTCTTGGATATTTTATCTTGTTATATTACCAACGAGATGATTTATAATAGTCTACAATTTTTATAGATTTACTAAAATCGTGTCTACTATTTTAGATTTACTAAAATCGTACAAACGTCTTTGTATTCATCTTTTTTGTATAATTTATGCATACCCAGACAGCACATGATATTATACGAATATTCTGTACTCATACTATGAATGTATGTACTGTACATAATATACTGAGAATATCTCTATAATATCTCCTGTGGTATATCAGTTTTCGTATATTTTTTAGGATGTTTTCAGAACATCTTTTACAGTATATTATTTCTCGTATATATATCGTATATTATCAGAATATATTGTTACGTATATTCTAAAACTATAATGTAAATTTTTAAAACGTACTGTATTTAACATACTGAGATCATCCCTAGAACATTTTTAGTAGTATATTATTTTTCGCATATTCTCGTATATTTTCAGAACATGTAGTACTAGTAACTGCACTCACTGTTGCGACGTGGCGATCGCGCGTTAGCCTTTCTCGTAAGTAAAAATTATTTTGTATTAGTATAAGAGGCGAGCCGATATGATATAACAGTTGGTTTTCTGTATCATGGATAAACTTCAATATACTTTTGATGATTACATAATTTAACACACTTTAAAAATTAGGTTAAAAAATGAAATACTTATTTTTAATAGGAAGCCTACTACCTCCCTGTTGCCCTACTACCCTCCTGTTAGAAATTATATGGCGTAACAAGGGGCAAGTCATGAGGTCTTGATAAGGAAAACCTGACCAGGCAATTAATTATGTGATCAAAATATTTTATTAATATACTTATGATATACCAAGAAATATTCCCAGTATATACTGAGTAGACTTCTAGGACAGACATAGAAACATCCTCCGTACATTCTCAAAATATCGTGGTACGTATTTCAAATATTAATGGGATATACACAATCTACGTTTGCATCATACTGCGTATATACTAATCTACCTGTGCTGTATGGGTATAAGTATACATTTTTATCACCGCACATGGCAAACGTATGAAATATATAATGATTTGAGAGTAAATTCGGACACTTGGGTGTTAACACTCAAAACTTGAGTGTTTTTTTCATAAGGGCGGCTTATAATAAATCACAAACGTTTCGTTGCAACGTTCATAGAGCTACATTTATTCCCAAATTTTTCTGAATACGTTACAATTTGTACAAAATTACGCCTTGAGAGCGAAGCCAAGATGTAATTTTGTTGGTCGGCTTATAATAAATCACGAGCGCCCTAGATCGCGGGCCTAGGCAATAAACGTCCCTGCATCTCTCGATATCCTTCTCTTCACCTTCCTCCGCCACCCTCTCTCTCTCTCTCTCTTTCTCTCTCTCTCTCTCTCTCTCTCTCTCTCTCTCTCTCTCTCTCTCTCTCTCTCTCTCTCTCTCTCTCTCTCTCTCTCTTGCGCTCCATCTCTCCGCGCGCACGAAGGAAAC